ACCTTTAACTTTAACAATAGAAGTCAGATGATGTATAGTTCTTTTAGGTCTTCAGAGAGGAACAGCCTGAGCTTAAGATGGTTGTCTTACTTTCCCAGACTTTCTTTCTTTAGGCTAATCTTATGATGGTTATCTCACTTTCCCAGACCTTCTTTCTTTTCTATAGTTTAAGATAACAATTGAGGATGTTAGGATTATTGATCAGTGTGGTGTACGTGACTAACTCCCAATAAAAGGGAGTGGAAAATAAAGACATTTTGCTACATGCCACCTAAGAGTATGTAGTCATTTCTTGCTTTCATACAATTCTAGGCGTGAGCTTGTACCTGTGGCCAAGCCGTCCTTCTCTCCCCATGAGAAAGAACATCACCCAACAAGCAGTAGGGGAACTTTTTGTTCTAATATTTGGTCATTGACCCCTGGTGGATGCAGAGCCCCTGAGACCTTTCAGATGTTCTGTATGATAGGAGCATCCTTTGTTCTACAGAAATGACTATCGGTGGGCTCCTGGATAGCTGCAAGAGGGGGTTTTCATTGCCAGGGAACCCAACCATACGATCAGAACATCCAGTCTTTGGAGGCATGTAGAAGTTGCGTCTAGTGAGAGGAATCAGGAAGTGGTGGCTCTCAAGGTTGGGTTTGACTGGGAAGGGCACCAGCAGCTTTGTGGAGTGATGGAAACCTTCTATATCCTTGGCTGGAGCATGGGTTACACAGGGCTACACATTTGGCAATTCCACTCATGGAATTGCACACTTAAGATGTGTGTATTTCGTTGCAGGCAAAGTTTGCCTCAACTGAAAAGCAAATGTTATTTTAAATTTCAAGGAAAAACAAACAAGCTGCTAGTAAAAAAAACAAACAAACAAACAAACCAAAAACCACTAATTAAAATGGAGAGAAAAAAGAAATAAAGAAAGAAAGAAAGCGCAAAAGGCTGGGCAGGGGTCTCCAGACTTCATCTCCTCAACAGCACTTGTCTTATCCCTGAGACTTTGGACATTTACTACCCTCTCTGCAGTAAATATCAAAGCTCCCAAAGGAGCATTATTTGCCAAGAAATACTCAGCCCGCTGGCTGCTTGACTCAATATTGGAGGAGATAAGAGACCTGAGGTGGAGTTTGAATTCCAGCCCTGCCTGTGTCCTACGTGGCCTTGAGACAGCCAGTGAGGTTTCCATACATTGGGGAGTGATCACATCAGTGTTAAGCATATCCATGACCTCAAATATCTATCATTTCTTCTTGGTGATAACACTTAAAATCCTTTCATCTATCGTGAAGTACCACAATATGTTATTCTGTCATTGGCAAAAACATGGATAAATCTAGAGGACATTATGTTACATAAAAAATGCCAGGCGCAGAGAGATAAATACCACATGCTCTCACTTATATGTGGAATCTAAACAAGCCAAACACACAGAAGTAAACAGTAGAGTAGTGGGCACCCGCGTATGGGGCGGAGTTCAGGGAAGGGGGGATATTAGACAGCAGGTGGAGTTCCGGTTACTCAGGAGAATTCAGCTCTGGGGTTCTTTTGCCCAGCAGGGGACTCTAGAGGGCTTGGATTCTCTAGGACTTGGCACTGCCGTGTCCTTTGCTTGAGGGGCAGGTAACCCTTAACCCAGGCCAAGTCACCCCACTTTCTCACTTGTGGATCTTGATCTCCGCGTACTCACTGTCGGTGGCCTCAGATTTCTTCAGGTCCTGAGATTTCATCTTATGGAAGCTGAGAGATGCGTAAAGGAGCTCTTGTCCCTGCCCTGAGGAAGAGGAGGCCACGGCTGGGGGAGGCTGGTCTGGGGAGCTGTCATCTATCTGGGAGCCAATCATGGAGCCCTGAGTGGAGAGAGAGAGAGAGAGTGAGAGGGAGTCAGAGCAACCCAGGGAACAGG